AAAAAAAAAAAAAAAAAAAAAAAAAAAATCACACCAATGACAAAAGCTACAATCTCCAAGTAAAGAGATCCCATTTGGATAAACACAAACTTTAGTTCACTTTTCCAGCTTTTTCCTTTTTTTTTGTTCACCTTTCACCAATCCCCAAGCCCAAAAACTTCAAAATCAACAATAGTGTTAGTCCAAAAGCCCAAATGGAGATTATATTACATAGCATCCTACCTTAAACATTCCCATCACATCCTTGCCTGAAAATTTCCCAAAAGCATCAACAAATTCTGTGTCTGTTATTCCTCTCAGCAGCAATTGTGAGTAATCTTGAGACCCCTTGTGTCCAAATATCATACTCCCTTTCATTCCTGCATTCGAATTCGACGACCCCTCGTGCAATTGTCTTCAATGCAAAGTACCGTCGATGCTCACCACCCTCGAGCAAGTGGCGGCCAGGCCACGCCGGAACATCCTTCAACACCTCTAACACAATATCTGAAAAAAATGCATAAATAGTGAGAAAAAACAGGACATTGTGCTGATTTTTTTGTTCATTTCGAACTCAATTGCTAATAACTTTCTCAAATCCCCAAAAAATAGAAGGGAATGACCCACCACCACCTCCAATTCTGTTCTCATCATGAGACTAAAGACATAAAGCAAAAGCATATTTTGAAGGACAGGAAAAAAAAAATATAGAGCTTACTCTTTTTCTTTTTCGTGACTGTCCCGGCTACATGACGACTCTTCATTTTCAGCATCACCTGCCGTTGTGAAAAGCAATTCTTGAGCGTAGTAGATCACGAGACAAAACATAAAGAAGATTCATGCTGTTGCATCCATGAGCACTTTACGAATTGAGGTCACAATTGGTGCCCAAGAGATTTTATTGAAAGTGCTTTGGAATATTTTGATGAACTACAAAAAGTTGGTTTTGATGGTTCAATCATATAGAGGAGTTGATCGCGAATCAAATTACGGCTAAATATTAAAATTACTGCAAAATGGGAGTATAATGCTTGTACCTGACCCATTCTGTTAATATACACAGAGACTATCTTCCAATGTAGGTCGCCTGCATTCACCAATCGATTTAATAAACACATATAACTAAAGTTCAAACAAGATAAAATTATATCTCCAATCGATTTTAACGACAAACACAAATAAACACACACTATTTTGCAGTTCTTTACCCGTGCGCGTTTTCTTCAGAAGTTCACAGCCCCTCGCGAGCAACTCCCGGCTACAAATTCCAAGGAAGTTCTCTTCCGGAACAAGCTCGCCGCTAAAGCTCCCATTAGAACTCCCGTTGCTGCCCCCACCAGCAACTCCCATTCCTTTGTCGACCGGAATCACGGATGCCAAGTTCCACACATCCTTCAATGCCCTCGCCTTCAATGTAGCCGCCCCACGTAAAGCTTCACAATCAAACAATTCCAACAAACTTTAGCCAAATATACAACAAACTTAACGAACACTGTTTTGAACATAATCGATTACCAGTAGCAGCGGCAGCAGTGAGGGTCATGATATCACCGGGCGATCGGACATTGACAGCTGAGCTCACAACAGAGGCCAAGTGATCTCGCTCGGCTCCCATGGCCTCGGCTGCCTCCACACACTGGGCGGCCACCAGCGTGGCAGCCGAAGCAACGGCCATATTGGTCTTGGCCACTGCCTCTTCCTTCCCGTCAGCGGCAGTGGCAGCAGCAATTGCAGCGATGGCCGATGCCACCCCAGCCACCGAGACGGCTGCGTGCAGCTGTGCATTGTGGGCCCGAGCCTCCTCCTTTTTCTTCTCTCTCCTCTCCTTCAGCCACCGCCCCACCGTCTTCCCACCGCCGTTCGTAGAGCTTTTGTAGTGGTTGCCACCTGGAATGTTCACGCGCGAGTACTGCATTTGTAATGAAGGGAACTTTTAATGAAGCATGTACTTAAGCCAGAATATTAATTAAAGGGCTGGGAGGGGACAGTTTGGGATTGGTTTCATGACTGAACGAACGATTGGTCCCGGGTTTTCTTGAGATCACGATCAGAAACCGAAAAACAAGAGGGTAAAATGGATTACGAGAGCTTTCCGAGTAATCAAATGCTAGGATGTTGATGTACCATAACTGTTGCAATTAATTTTTCACCTAAAAAGTTGGTGGCTTACAGAGCTAAGTTGTCCACCCCTATCATTCGCCGGACCATATTCATAATATAACATGTCGGGGAAAAAACACATACGTATCGAACATGGCCGTAAAATGATTTTTATCTGCAGTAAAGAACCACATTCAACACACACACACACACACAAAGGGATAAAAAACCAAAATAAATTCAGTTTTCTAATTAACAAACCAATTAAAGAAGATGGCCTTAAACAAAATAGTCAAGAAGATACATAACAAAATAATAATAAAAATAATAATAATACCTTGGGGTCATCCATTTCAGAGGGAGAAACAGGGGGACTATCAGTGAGAGAACCATTAAGAGGGCCGCTGCTGTGTGACAGCCTACCCGAAGTGCGTGGTGATACCTCCTGCTGCATATGTTGCACACACTTCATATAGCAATATTAAAGGAAAAAAAAAACTTCAGTAATACTCATGATATAAGTCAATTAAGCACACATACCTAGTTAGAAAGCAAATATATCTTGGTTAGAATCAATATTATTAAGATAATAATATAAAGTGAAAGGAATTCAAAAATATTAAGAAATTTACACAAGAAGGACCCAGAGGAAAAGGGTACTGTAGTGAATCATTTTTTTTTTTTTTAAATGAAAATGTGTGAATAATTTGTTCTAAGTGTCATGTATTGTCTTCTCCAAGACAAGACACACACAATACTGCTACTACCTACTTAATAAATGCCTCCTAAGTAGGCTTTAAAGTTCCAAGAAAACTCTTGTTTTTCACATCAACAGCCTTAATAGTTAACAAGCTCATTAAATAGAAGCAGATTAAAAGGGTTTGTAAAAGAAATTATGAGGAACAACTGTAACTCCAACTCATAAAGAAGAAGAATAAATTCAATGTAAAAATCCATATCAAAAGATTTGAGAAGGAAATTGTCAAGAATAAATTTTTCACACCCTCAGACAAAGCGAGGCAGTGAACAGGACTAAACTATAATAATGACAAGAAAATAAATGATTTCTTTGGGCACCACAGAATAATTCCAAAGCCCACATATTTATGCAAAAAAATTCCAATTACACGCAACAGTGAAACAAATAAAGAGAAAACCTTACCAAATAGGCTAAGTAAAAAAAAACGAGAAGCATATTTTTGTGACATCAAAAGCGTAGTAACAGAGAACAAAAAAAAGATTCAATCTTTGACTCACAGACTGAGACATTATGCGCTCCATGATGAGCTGGGATGTCTCCGAGCAAGAAAACGAGAAGGGGTTGCCGGATAAGGCGGAGGAAGCCGGAGGCTCGTCCAGCTCGGCGCCGGCGTCCTCGTGTATGGTCTCGACGCCACCTCGGGCGGCGGCACCGTTTGGGGGGCTGTTCTTGGCCGCGAGCTGAGGCGCCGGCGGGGGAGCTAAAGCTTTGGAGATTTCATGAGCCGAGAGGCTCCATGATCGGGAGAGAAACTCCATGGGGTCCCTCGGAGTTTCCGGCGGCTTAAAAATGGGCTGAAATTGAGCCTGCTCCATGATTATGAAGAGAAAAGTGGGGTATTGTGCGCAGAGTAAGGTGGGTGAATTTTGCAGAGATGGTTGAGTCAGTGGGGTGATAATGGGAGATGTTAATGGAGTGAGACAGTTCTTTATAGTGTGTGTGTGGAGAGAGAGAGAGAGAGAGAGAGAGAGAG